GGGGCGCCCTCGGCCAGGCCCACGCGGAGCTCAGGGACCGCGGCGGTCCCGGGAGGTGGCGCTCGCGGGTCGGGGAACGGGCCGCGCGGGGCTGTGGTGCGTGGAAAATCCCCACGTCCAGCCCAGCGCGCGTCCCGTTGTCACCTCGGCGCGGGCGGCGGTCCTCCCGGGGCGCTCGGCGGCTCTCGAAGCATGAAACGCGTCCGCACGGAAGGAGCGCGCATGGCGGGGGCACGGGACGCTGCGGGGAGCGCGGGAGGCACCGACCCGGCGGGGGAGCCTTCCTGCCGAGCCCCGACCCCACGCCCACGTCTCCCGCTGTCCCTGGGTGTCCTCGGCCTGTTGAGCGCGTGGGCGCCCCCGCCACTCCCCGACCCCCGGCCTCACGTCTTCTATCTACTTCGGGGCTGTGGGGAGGTGGGCAACAAGCCTCTCCCGCCCCCGGTGTCGCCGGTTCCCGCTAGAGCCAGGCGCGCTCTCGGGCTGCCACCTCCCCGCCCCGGGACCGAAGGACGCCAGCAGAGCGGCTGGGCCCGGAGGCCGAGGGGTCAGTGCCCGAGCTGGCCGGGGACCAGCCCTTCCAGGGCCGCTCCGTTCCCCACACGGAGAGTCACCGAGCCGGGCCCTCCTCGGGGCCAGCACTGCGGGGCTCCCGACGGAAGCCCTTTCTCCCCGGGGAGAGAACGGCCGCGGCCCGCAGGGAAGGTCCAGCCGGACACCAGGCGCGTCGGGCGGGGCGGGGAGGCGCAGGGCGCCGGCCTTACCCGGCGGGGCTGCCGTCGTTGCAGGTCACCGAGGTGTTGAGCAGGAGGTGCAGGCGCAGGTCCTCGTTGAGCTGCTGCGCGGAGCAGGGGTACAGGGACTGCGCCAGGCTCTTGACCTGCGCCATGAAGCTGTCCATGTTGCCCTCCACGGCCGTGAAGTCCAGCGGGAAGCTCTCCACGGGCTGTCCGGCCGCCGGCGCCGCCTCGGTCCGCGGAGGAGGCGGCGGCTGCTGACCCCGGCGCCGCCAGGTCTTCCTGCCCTCGCTGCCCCCTGCGCAGTGCAGTAGGCCCAGCAGCAGCAGCACACGCACCCCTCGGCCCATGGCCGCGTCCACCTGCGGGGAGCGGGCGGCCTTGAGGCGGCGGCGGCGGAGGGTGCCGGGCCGGGGATGCCGGGGGCACTGGCGCTCCTGCTCCCTCGCCCCCGCTCCCGCCCGCCGGGCCTGGCGGAGAACGCGCGCGCGGCTGGGCGTCGAGGCTCTCGGGGCTGGGTGCCGTCGGCCTCCGCAGCTGGGGCTCCGCGCCCGGCCGTCCGAGGGCAGCGCAGGGTCTGGGTGCGCTGGCTGCGGCCCGCGCCAATGAGCGGCGGGGGCCGAGGCTGGGCTTATTTGCGGGGGCCGCGGCGGCCCGGGTGCCCGCGCGTTAGATGTGCCGCCGCCGCCGCCCGGGCTCGGCGGAGGGGGGAGGGGGCCGCGCTCGCTCTTTTCTTGGCGGAGGCATCGCCTTTTCTTCCCAAACCGCAAGCCTGACGGAGGGGCCTGGACTACCCCGCCGCGGCCGCCGGAGGCGCTCCCGGCCCGGCTCCGTGGGGGGGCAGCGCGGCCGGGCGGCCCCGGCGGCTCCATTCACCGCGGCCAGCCCGGCGCCGCCGCCCCCGCCCCCGGGGCAGCTGGAAGGGGCGGCGGCGACGGGGAGGGGCGAGGCTTTTCCGCGCCGGCGGGGGGAGCGGGACGGGGAACTCCGCCCGCGGCGCAGCTGGCCGCGGCCGACGGGCTGGGGGCGCGGGGCGGGCGAGCTCACCTGGAGCCGCCAGTGTCCCTCCCATCCCCCAGTGCCCAGGCCCAGAGCAGGCCGTGGGGGACTCGGACCCCGGCCCGCATCTCTCCACCCCGCGCAGCCCTGGGGTCCCGCTCTCACCGCGGCCAGCGCGGGCGACCCAGTGGCCCCGTCCTCTCAGCGCCCCGGCCCTGCGCCGTCCCGCTGGTGCGCCCGTCCCCGCTGCGCTCCCCTTCTGGCGCTGGCGCGGAGCCGCCAGGGACTTTTATCCAGCAGGGCCCCCCGGGATCAAAGCGGCGGCGGACACAGGGCTTCGAGCCGAGGGCTCGGCAGCAGCGGCGCCGGGGCCTCCTAGAGAAGCGGACAGGTGGGGCGCAAGGTCCTCGGTCCCTCGGAGACCTGCGAGATGGACCGCGCGCCCCAGCAAGGCGCCGCGGCGTAGTCGCCCAGTTCTGGGGCGCTCCTGCTGGCGCTGGGGTCAGAGAAGAAGCTACAACTTAAGGAGATCACGGGGCTAGAGGTGAGGTTCTGGATCTCCACCCGCCCCAGCCTGGCTGCTGGCCCCATGACGAGGACCCCAGCCGCCACTAGGGGAGGAGGCCAGGGGTCCAGTGGCTGCCCGCTAGGCCTCTGCTTGGGGCCCTTCATGCCACTAAGGGCACCTGGAGATGCTTCACCTTGGAGAGCACCCCTGTCCACTCCTGAGGTTGCGGGTGGTGGTGTCAGAACAAGGTTCCTGTAGGAAATCAATACTGGACCTGGGTGGACAGGAGTGGCTCAGGAGGCTTCCTGCTGTGGGCAAGGGGTGGGATGGACAAAAGAAAGGACATACACAGGGCCAGTGGGGTCAGGCAGACTTTCTCCTTGACCCTCTGGTCTGCAGCCTGCTGGGCACCATGACACCCATTTTAAAGATAGGAAACAGGTCTTACATTTCAAGACAAGGATCTAGACCCAAGCAGAGCTTCCAGAATCCCTCCTAATTCAGGACAGTGGGGAGCCTACAGCACCTCGTGGGGCAGGAGAGCAGAAGCGCAGGGCTGTGACTGCAGCCAGGATGTCCCCTGAGCCGAGGGCTGGGGCCCTGTGGATGTCCTCCTTGCCAGCCCCAGGCTGAGTGAGGAGCTTAGGCAGAAAGTCTCAGCACCACTGGCACCTGCAGACAACGGCGTTGCCTGGGCTCTTGTGAAACAGACAGAGCAAACCCTGAGAGCTGTTGCCCCATGCATTTGATGGGTGTAAGGCACCCCAGTGTAAACCACAAGGCCTAAGATCAGGCTGGGGTGCCCTGGAGGTCAGCCTGGCCTAGGGACATTTTCAAAGAGGGAGGCAGGCTATTACAAACTCAAGTCCATTCCATAGCCTCCCCCTTCATCACAGGGCGGGTTGCAGCATTTCCCTGACAAGGGGAACTGAGGTTCAGGGACACTAACAGAAGAGCTGAGACTCGCCCTTAGCTCTCTACTCACTCAAAAATCCCCCCTGCTGTCCCCCTGTCATCGGGTCAGTTTAGAGGCCGCGTGTGGGGCTGGCCAGGGGCAGTAGCTTCAGATGCAGGTCCCATCCTGAGGTGTTCTCCCACCCACACCCTGGCGGGGAAGGCTGACCCAGGGCAGATTTCAGCATCCAGCAGGAACCTGTCTGGAGGAGGCCTCTCCCACCGGGTACCTGCTATTCCAAGTCCAGAGTGTGATGGCGTCTTTCAGTTGGCTGCACAGGGTTGATCTCCAAACCGCCCTGGCTCTGAGCCATCTCCTGGTGCGGTGTGGAGATGCCAGGCAAGGCCTGTGACCTTTCCCTATGCCTCAGCTTCCTCTTATTTATTTTTTTATTTATTTATCTTTTTTTGAGATGGAGTCTTGCTCTGTTGCCCAGGCTGGAGTGCAGTGACGTGATCTCGGCTCACTGCAACCTCTGCCTTTCAGGTTCAAGAAATTCTCCTGCCTCAGTTTCTCAAGTAGCTGGGACTACAAGCATGTGCAATCATGCCTGGCTAATTTTTTTGTATTTTTAGTAGAGACGGGATTTCACTGTATTAGTCAGGATGGTCTCCTGACCTCGCGATCCACCCACCTTGGCCTCCCGAAGTGCTGCGATTACAGGTGTGAGCCACTATGCCCAGCCGCTTTCTCTCCTTTAAAATGGGGGGATGGCCGTGCCTCCGTCAGAGGACTGTTGTGGGATTATAAGAGCCCATTTGTGAAAGTGCATGGCAGGGGTGGCAGTTATGATCGCCGATGAAAATTCCAGGACGGGAGAAGAATATGCGTGTTATAGTCTCTCTGTTATAGATGCAGACATCTCCTGCAATGCAGATGAACCTGCATGTTGAACCACAGTGAGTTCATGTTTTGGTTTATTCAACACTGATAGCATATGCAAGAAGGGGCTCAAACTCAAGACTTCCCCAGAACCTCTCTGCCCTTCTGTCCACCTCTCCCATCCCCCTCTCCTCTGAAGCCCCTGCCATGACCGGATGACTGACAAGGCTGCAACCACATGGCTGGGAACAGGACTCCTGAGGCTCTGCAGCTGCTCACACCCATGTCCTCCTCTTGACTCACACCAACTGGCTCTGTCCTCACACTCCCCCAGCCCCTGGGGCAGCTTTATCCTCTGCACCTGGAACTCCCCACCCAGAATTTGGAGCACCCAGAGTCTGGCAGCAGCTCCCATGGCAGGTCCTGTGGGCCGGCAGGTGCTGGGCCTCTGCTTCTAGTCCACATGCATCAAGGCAGGGCCACCCTGGCCCTGACAGGTATAAGGAAGGGGGACCCAGTTCCACCAGTAATGGGTCAGATGCTACCTCATGCCCACTAAGATGACCACGATCAAAAACAGAAAATAACAAGTGTGGATGCAGCTGCGGCAACACTGGAGACCTAGAGCATAGCTGTGGGGGTAGACAGTGCGGTGGCCACGTCCCTAACCGTGGAAAACAGTTTGGTGGCTCCTCAGTATGTTACATAGAACACGTGACCCAGCAGGCCCACTCCCAGGGATACACCCAGAGAATTGAAGACAAGTGTTCAAACAAAAACTGGCTCACGGATGTTCACAGCAGGACTAGTCACAATAGCCAAAAGGCAGACAACAGCCCCAAAGTCCATCGGCAGATGAGTGGGTAAAGACAGTGGAACACAGCCATACAACGGAATGTATTCTAGCCGTGAAACCAATGAAGTTCTGACATACGCTGCACTGTGGACGAATCTTGAGGATATCAACCAAGTGACATGAGCCGGACACTGAAGGGCACATGCAGTGTGATTCAGTTCGAGTGTCCAGAAGAGGTAACTTCATAGAGACAGAAAGTCTGCTGGTGGTTTCCAGGAGGTGGGGAGAAACAGAAACAGGGAGTGATTACTATTGGGTACAGAGTTTCTCTCTCTCTCTTTTTTTTTTTTTTTGGTTGAGACAAAGTTTTGCTCTGTTACCCAGGCTGGAGTGCAGTGATGTGATCTCGGCTCACTGCAACTTCCGACTCTGAGGTTCCAACAATTCTCCTGCATAGCTGGGATTACAGGCGTGCACCACCACGCCCAGCTAATTGTTTGTATTTTTAGTAGAGATGGGGTTTCACCATGTTGGTCAGCTGGTGTTGAACTCCTGATCTCAGGTGATCCACCCACCTTGGCCTTCCAAAGTGCTGGGATTACAGGCATAAGCCACTATGCCCAGCCAGTACAAGGTTTCTTTTTGGGGTGATTAAAATGTTCTAAGATGGATTGTGGTGGTTGCACAATTTTCTGAATGTACTCTGTCATGTGATTAGATTTTCTTTTTTTTTTTTTGAGATGGAGTTTTACTCTTGTTGCCCAGGCTGGAATGCAATGGCTCGATCTTGGCTCACTGCAACCTCCCCCTCCCAGGTTGAAGCGATTCTCCTGCCTCAGACTCCTGAGTAACTGGGATTACAGACATGCGCCACCACGCTCAGCTAATTTTTTTTTTTTTTTTTTTTAGTAGAGACGGGGTTTCACCATGTTAGTCAGGCTGGTCTCGAACTCCTGACCTCAGGTGATCCACCTGCCTTGTTCTCCCAAAGTGCTGGGATTACAGGCATGAGCCACCGCACCCAGCCTGATATTTTAAAGTAATTAGTTTTGACTGGGTACAGTGGCTCATACCTATAATCCCAGCACTTTGGGAGGCCCTGGCAGAAGGATTGCTTGAACTCAGGGGTTTGAGACCAGCCTGGGCAGCATAGCAAGACCCTGCTTCTATCTAAAAGAATCAGTGTAAGACCAACGACCATCAGGCTGGGTACAGGGCACCAGGCAGTGGGGGTAAGGCCTGAGGCCCGGTGAGGGGAGTGGCCAGCTTCGGGTGGGGTGGGCTGGCTCCACTCTAGAAATCCTCCTGGCAGGTAGGGTGTTCCAGAACCCTCCTTTTGCATAGTAGACAGATACCTACTTCGTCTGCACCAGAGCGGATGGGGTAGGACAGCCAAGTACTGGCCGCTGCAGGGCCTGCAGCTGGGTCTTGGGTTCCTCATCTGTAAAACGGGGATGAGAACAGCACCTGCCTCACAGGGTCCTCGTGAGCATCAAAGGTGCAGGATGTTTGGGGGCTCCGCTCAGCGTCTCTGGCAATGACCATGTGATTAATGGCAGTTATGCTGCCCAGGCACCGTGGGGATGCTGGCGATCCCCCAGGGACCAAGGTTGACTGCGAGGGCAGACACGGGGGCCTGGGGAGGAGAAGCATGGTTCTGTGTGGTGTCTCTCTCAGGGTGTGCCCTTCTCTGCTTCCCTGGCCCTGCCCCATCCCCACTGTCCCGTTCAGGGAGGACCATGCCGGGTTCCCCAGGCTCCCATTCAGGTGGCGCTGGGGCTTCTGACTGAGCCTAGACTCTGTGTGCCCCACGGCAGGAAAGCTGGGGAAATGAAGGCCCAAAGGAGGCTCTGTCCTTCAGGGGAGGCACCCCGAGACAGGATGGGGTGAGGGTTCAGTTCACTGCCTCCCCCTGGGGAGGGAGCTGGGGATGCCCAGGTGGTTCTGAGTCAACCCCCCGGGGTCACGGCTGTGCTGGGGGGCCGGAGCCCACTCCGTGGGAAAAAGGGGTCAGCAAGGGCCCAGGCTGGCGGGCGGGTGCAGGCGGAGAGGGAGGAGGGTGTGATGGAGGGTGGTTGGCGGTACAGGGGTCCCCTGGAGACCTCGTGTGGGGCCCTGGAGCTTGGTGATATGAGCCTCCAGCACACAGCATGTCAGGCAGCCGCGGACCCGGCTTCCCTGTCCAGACTGGAGGCGGCTCCCTGCCGCACATCCCGGGCCCCTCCCCCAAGGGCCTTGAGCGCCAGGGCCGCTCTGGGCTCCAGCTGCTGCCGGCCGTCTGGGGCCCAGCTGTTGTATGCTGGCCTCAGCCGCCCCGCCCCGCCTGGCCACCTGGGCTGCCCTGCGCCCCAGCTGCTGGCCTCTGAGGCCCAAGTGAGCAGGGAAGTGAGGCGGGCCACCCGCTTCCCCATGTGGCTGTCTCTTGGGGGAGGCCGCCCACTTTCCCCTTGGCTGGCTCTTGGGGGAGGCCCTGCTCTGCAGTCGGCTCAGAGTGGGGGAGGTGCCCTGAGGCCAAGCGCTGCCGTTGTAGAGCTTGGCCCCCTTTTGGTTTTCCCCAACCTCCTTTTCTAGTCACCCCATCCATCAGAAGGACCCTTCTTGGCCTCATATCCTGGGACCTTAATGAGCCAAGTCCCTCGTCAGGAGCTGCTGTGGCTCTCGCCCAGGTCCTCGGAGGGGCGAGGGGGGCCACCGGGCGGGGCGGCTGCTACTGGGCTTGGTGTTGCGGCTGCCCTCTCCCCGTCCCCAGTGCCTGGACTGAGTGGCCTCTGAGTTCCCTGGTGGAAAGGATCCGCCTTGCCTTAGGATGTCCTTCACCCAGGTGAGAGCTCCTGGAACCCAGCGGGGAGGCGAGGCTGTCATTTTTGGACCCAGGTATTTGGCGGGATCTGCCCCTGTTGGCACCCCTGCAGCTGAACCCCGCCCCATCCCGCCTCCTCCCTAAGGCTTCACCTGGCTGGTGCCAACATGTAGCCTACTGGGAGTGGCAGGCCCACCAGGGAAAGGCCACCTTCCAGAGCTGGGGGAGGAGGGGCATGGGGATGGGAGAGTCCCAGCTCATCAGTGGAGATGCAGCCTCTTGGGACATCATGCAGAGAGTGTGTGGCTCCTTCCTGGACAGGTGAGGGAGGCTGGAGGTCAGGCTCCTGGATGCCAAGGGGAGGGGCAGAGAGGCTGGTCCTTTGCCCTCCCAGCTGCCAGGCTCCACCGCCCTCACGAGCTGCAGGCCGGGCCCCCACCCGTCCAGCCTGCTGGTCCCCACGCTCCTGCTCCTGCCGCAACAGCGGCAGCAGGCCAGGGAGGCCATGTGACCTTCGCTCGCCCTCCCTCCCTCCCTGTGATCCCCACGTGGCCTCTGGGGAGGCAGAAACAAACCCTCAGATCTTGCCACTGGGAACCTTTCAGCGCCAGCGACATCAAAGAGGGGCGGCGGCGGCGGGGGCGGCCAGCGGATGCTTCTCTTAAAGGGCCACGCCATTTTTAATTCAAAGCAGATTCTGGGAGCAGCTGTCTAGCTGCTGTCTGGGAGGGAAGGTGGCAGCCGAGCCCTCTCCAGACCTGGCTACAGTTGCTCCTCAGAACTAGTTAAACTGGGCTGGGTGCGGTGGCTCACGCCTGTAATCCCAGCACTTTGGGAGGCCGAGGCGGGCAGATCACCTGAGGTCAGAAGTTCGAGACCAGCCTGGCCAACATGGCGAAACCCTGTCTCTGCTAAAAACACAACAATCATTACAGAAGGAAAACCCATGGGATGAAAAAAAAAAAAAAAAAATCAGCCAGGCATGGTGGTGGTGCGTGCCTGTGTAATCCCAGCTACTTGGGATGCTGAGGCACGAGAATTCTTTTTGTTTTTTTTTTTTTTTGAGACGGAGTCTCGCTCTGTCGCCCAGGCTTGAGTGCAGTGGCGGGATCTCGGCTCACTGCAAGCTCTGCCTCCCGGGTTCATGCCATTCTCCTGCCTCAGCCTCCCGAGTAGCTGGGACTATAGGCGCCCGCCACCACACCTGGCTAATTTTTGTATTTTTTTTTTGTAGTCATGGAATTTTGCTATGTTGCCCAGGCTGGTCTCAAACTCCTGAGCTCAAGTGATCCACCCCCCTTGGCCTTCCAAAGTGCTGGGATTACAGGCGTGAGCCACCACGCCCGGCCGAGAACTCCTTGAACCCAGGAGATGGAGGTTAGAATGAGCTGAGATCACGCCACTGCACTCCAGCCTGGGTGACAGAGTTAGACTCTGTGTCAAACAAACAAACAAACAAACACAAAACTAGTTAAACCGGAGAGGGGTCGGACCAAGAAGAAGAACCAGCACTATGCTGTCCTCAGAACTGAGGCTGAGCAAGGTCCCAAGTGGCCAGACGGCAGCAACATAGAAACTAGATTCCTTTAATAAAATAAATAGCGTGAGCCCTCTCGCACATTTATGTATGAGTGGCGATTCTTTTGTTATTATTATTTTTAGAGACAAGGTCCTACCCTGTGTTGCCAGGCTGGAGTGCAGTGGTGCGATCACTGCCTGAGCCCTGAACTCCCGGGCTCAAGTGATCCTCCTGCCTCAGCCTCCTGGGTACCTTGGACTACAGGTGTGTACCACCACACTTTTTAATTTTTTTTGTGGCGATGGGGTCTCACTATGATGTCCAGGCTGGGCTTGAACTCAGGCTCATATGATCCTCCCCCTTAGCCGCTCCAGATGCTGGGATTACAGTGGTGCGCCACCCTGCCTGGCCCTGAGGTGGGATTGTGAACCTGCCCAGGTATCCATCCTGCCTGGAGGCCACTGACTGAGGCCAGAAGTTAGCCAGCTCCATGAGCCACAGGAAGGTTCCGTGACTACTTCCCATTTACTCGCCTGAGCCCCGTCCCAGGCGTGGGAAGATGGGGCTGGGATAGCAGGTGTGCCTTTGCAGGGCTTGTCTTCTGGAAGAGGCAGATGATGAAAAGTAGCTGTTCAAGGAGCTCCCTGACAGGGTGACGGGAAGGGAAGACGGGAAAGCCAGGCAGAAAACAGCCCCTGTGCTGGGCATTCAGTGGGCCTGGCAGGGGCCGGGTCAGCCCTGGGATTGACTTTGTGCAGCCTGCGGGGAGGAACCCAAACTCATCTTCTGGCCCAGCTCAGGCTTCCTGCAGCCCACCAGGGACTCACTGCCTGCAATGACCTCTTGGCCTTCCTGTGCCAAGTCAGGGTCCACTCACCTGTCTGGCGGGTGCTACAGGTGAGGATCCGAGGCCTGGGCAGGCAAGCTCTATGTTGGAGGCCAGCACAGACCAGGTCAAAGTTCAGTGCAGGTAGGGGGCTGGACCTCATGCCTGGACCATTCCACACCTGGACACTGTGACTTCCCTTGCAACATCCAGCAGTGAGCACTTTGTGCCATTGACTTAGTGCATGGTGGAGAAGAGTGGAGTCACAGGTGGCTGCAGAGTGGGATCATGCATAAATCTTTGAAAACGTGGGCTGCAGTGACAACAGCAAAAGAGACTGTGGTATCCTGTGGTCACCTATTGTATAAGGAGGAAGAGAGGTTAAGAATCTACATCTGGCTGGGTGTGGTGGCTCACGCCTGTAATCCCAGCACTTTGGGAGGCTGAGGTCGGTGGTTCACTTGAGGTCAGGAGTTCGAGACCAGCCTGGTCAACATGGTAAAACTCCATCTCTACTAAAAATACAAAAATGAGCCGGGTGTGGTGGCGGGTAACTATAATTCCAGCTACTCTGGAGGCTGAGGCAGGAGAATCGCTTGAACCCATGAGGTGGAGGTTGCGGTGAGCTGAGATCACGCCACTATTCTTGCACTCCAGCCTGGGCAACACAGCAAGACTCTGTCTCAGAAAAAAAAAAAAAAAAAGAATCTACGTATGTGCCCACCTGGCACCCGACACAGGAATTTGCTCATCTTTGCAAAAAGAACAAGCAGGCTACCCTAGAAGTTAATGAAAATGGTTTTTTTGGATGGGCGCAGTGGTTCACACCTGTAATCCCAGCACTTTGGGAAGCTGAGGCAGGCAGATCATGAGGTCAGGAGTTCGAGACCAGCCTGACCAACGTGGTGAAACCCCATCTACTAAAAACACAAAAATTGGCCCAGCGTCGTGGTGCACACCTGTAATCCCAGTTACTGAGGAGGCTGACACAGGAGAATTGCTTGAACCCAGGAGGCAGAGGTTGCAGTGAGCCGACAGCACCACTACACTCTAGCCTGGGCAACAGAGCGAGACTCCATCTCAAAAAAAAAAAAAAAAAAAAATTAGCCAGGTGGTGGTGGTGGTGCCTGTAGTCCCAGCTACCTCAGGAGGCTGAGGCCAGAGGTTTGAGTGCTGCAGTAGAGCTGTGGTCCCAC